CTCCTCCTCCTCTCCGCCTTCCTCCATCCCTCCCTCCCCTCCTCCTCTGCCGCCCTCCTCTCCTCTGAGCCTCCCTCCAGCCCTCCCTCCACTCCTCCTCCCTCCCTCCCTCCACTCCTCCCGCTGCCCCCCCCCGCCGCCCCCCTCCCCTCCCCTTCCCCTCCCCGCACTTGGTCTCCTCCGTCTCCAACTTCTCGGGCTCTGCCCCCTCCCGCCCCCTCCTCCCGCCCCCCCCGCGCCCCCCCCGGAGGCTCCCCCCGCTCCCTCCCTCCCTCCCTCCCTCCCTCCCTCCGCAGATGCCGCTTCCCCGGCGGCCGGGACGGCGGCCCCCGGCACCTGCCCGGCGCTGAGCCCCGGGGGGGGTCCGGGGGGGTCCCCGGGGCACCCCCTGAGCCCGTGCCATGTTCTCGGTGCAGGAGGCGCTGCCCCGGGGGGGGGTCCCCATGAAGGAGGAGCCGCTGAGCGCGGGGCTGCCCGCCGGCCGCTGGCTGCAGGGCACCGGCATCCTGGACGCCAGCACGGCGGCGCAGAGGTGAGGGGGCACCCCGGGGGGCTCCGCGGGCAGGGCGGGCATCCCGGGCAATGCGGGCGAGCCCGGCCGCTGCGAACATTCCAGGTGCTCCGGGCGTCCCGCGGGATGCGGGCACCCCGAGCTCCACGGGCACTCCGGGCTCCACGGGCATCCCCGGGGTTGTGGGTATCCCGGGGGTTGTGGGCATCCCGGGCTCCACGGCCATCCCGGGGTTTGTGGGCATCCCGGGGTTTGTGGGCATCCCGGGGTTTGTGGGTATCCCGGGGGTTGTGGGTATCCCGGGCTCCACGGCCATCCCGGGGGTTGTGGATAGGCTGGACTCCGTGGGCATCCCGGGCTCTGCAGGCACCCCAGGCTCCTCGGGCATCCCGGGTACAGTGGGTATCCCAGGCACTGCGGGCATCCCGGGCTCCTCGGGCATCCCAGGCACTGCGGGCATCCCGGGCTCCTCGGGCATCCCAGCCTCCAGGCTCCATGGGCATCCTGGGGTCCCTGGGCATCCCAGGCTCCACGGGCATCTCGGGGGCTGTGGGCACCCCAGGATCCATCGGCATCCCAGGGACTCTGGGTGTGCTGGGCTCCGTGGGCATCCCAGCCTCTGTGAGCACCCCGGGCACTGCAGCCACCCCGGGCACTGCGGGCTTCCCAGCTTCCATGGGCATCCCGGGCACTGCGGGCTTCCCAGCTTCCATGGGCTTCCCAGGCACCACGGGTATCCCGGGCACTGCGGGCTTCCCAGCTTCCATGGGCTTCCCAGGCTCCAGGGGCAGCCCGGGCACTGCGGGAATTCCAGGTGCTGTGGGCATCCCATGTGCTGTGGGTATCCTGGGCTCCATGGGCATTCCAGGTGCCGTGGGCATCCCATGTGCTGTGGGTATCCTGGGCTCCATGGGCATTCCAGGTGCTGTGGGCATCCCGGTCACCGTGAGCATCCCGGGCACTGTGAGCATCCCAGGCTCCATGGGCATCCCAGGCTCCTTGGGCATCCCAGGCTCCTTGGGCATCCCAGGCACACTGCAGGTGTCCCGGGTACCAGGGGCATCCCAGGTACCACGGGCTCCATGAGCATCCCAAGTGCCAGGGGCATCCCGGGAGCCCTCTGTGCCCCGGGAATGCTGGGCACCCCGGGCACACCCTCAGCATCCCGGGATCCCTGGGCAGCCTGGATGTGCCCCCGTGTGCCCCCCCTGCCCTGGGGCTCCCTGGGCCTCTGGGTACCCCCTACCCCTTGTCCCCTGGGTATCCCGGGACCCCCGTGGAGCTCAGCTGGGAGGGGTTTGTGCTGTGCCAACAGGGATGGCACCTGGAACCCCCTTCCCTGCCCTCCTGGGGGGCTTGGAGCTCCATGAGCTCCATGAACCCCCTTCCCTGCCCTCCTGGGGGGCTCAGGGCTCCATGAACCCCATTCCCTGCCCTCTCCAGGGGGCTCAGGGCTATGCCACCTTCATCCCCTGCCCCCTGAGGGGCTCAGGGCTCTGCCCACCCCATTCCCTGCCCTTCCAAGGGACTCAGAGCTCCATGAACCCCGTTCCCTGCCCTCCCGGGGGTCTCTGTGCCCCCTGTCCCCCCCCCCATCCTGTGCCCAGAGGGGTCCTGCCTGCAGTGTGGGACGGTGCCACCCCTGTGCCCAGCTCCTGCTGCCCCCCCGTGTGCACTGTGGGGTTTGGGGGGTCGGTCACGGGGGGCCCGAAGCCCTGGTGGGTCCCTGGGGTGCCCCCAAAGCTCTGGGATGTTTGAAAAGTTCCAGGGACCCCCCAGAGCCCCCCAGCCCCGGCCCAGCACAGCCCCGGGGAGCGGCTGGACAGGGGTCCCTCCCTGGCACTGCCAGGGTGGGGGGGCTGTGGGATCCAAGCCGGGGGGCAGGGGGGTGCTGGGCTTGTCCCTGTGATCCCAGAACCCCCCCGTGGGGCACAGGGGCACACCCGGGGGTGGCACTGGGGACAGGGCCGTGTGTGTGTGTGGTGAGGGGCTCCGCTGTGCCAGGCACCCCCTGGGTGAGGGAGGGGCTCACAGACCCCCCAAATCGGGTGCTGGGCAGTTTGGGGTCCCCCCCCGTGCCCTCCTTGTGCCAGCTGGGCGTGTGCCCACCATGGTGGCAGTGCCACATGGATGGACAGGCTCGGGGGGGCTCGTCCCACACCCCTCTCGGACCCCCGTACCCCCCCCCCCCCAAACAGCAGCCCCACAAAGCCCCCCCACTCCTGTGGGTCCCTGTGGCCACCCCAGGGTGCCCAGAGGGGCTGGGGGTCCCACAGGGGGCTGGGGGCTGTGGGGTGACCCCCGCGGGCTCCCGTGGGTTTTGGGGTCACCCATGTGGGGTCTCGGCTGGCGGGTGGGGTCTGACACCCACCGAGCCCCCCCCACTCCCGTGTGTCCCCACGGCCACCTCGGTGTCCCCGGGTGGTGCCAGCTGGGCTGGAGGGGCTGGGACGGGGGTCCTGGGGTCCCACGGAGGGGCTGTGGGGTGACCCCCGCGGGGTCCCGTGGGTTTTGGGGTCACCCACGCGGGGTCTCAGCCCGCGGGTGGGTCCGGCACCCACTGCGGCCCCCCCATCCCGCGTGTCCCCTCGGCTGGCCCGGGGGTCCCGCTGGCCCGCGGGGGTCCGTGGGCTGTGGGGTGACCCCACGCGGGGTCCCGGCTCTCGGGTGGGGTCCGGCGCCCCCCGAGCCCCCCCGGGAGCCGCGTCAGGGCCGTGCCCGGTGCCCGCCGGGGCCGCCGCCGCTTTCCTGTAAGCGCCGGGGCCGGGGCTGCTTGGAAATGCCTGATTGCCTTTAATAATTAATTAACGCGCCGCGCTGGGCCGGCAGCGCGGGCGGGGGGCGGGGGGGGGGCAGCCAGAACCCCCCCTACGCCCCGGGGACGGGCTTTGGGGGGGATCTGGGGGGGACCTGGGGGGAATCTGGGGGGCTGGGGCTCCGCAGGTGCCACCGTCCCGTCCGGGGGGAGCCCCCGCGGTGGGCGGGGGGGGGACAGTGGGGGGTCCCCGGGGGGGATGGACCCCGAGAGCGAAGCCACCAGTGCCGGTCAGACCCTCGGGAGGGGACAAGGCCCCCCCGGGGGTGGGGACGCGGCGGTGGCCGCGCACGGGGACCCGCGTGCCGGGTGTGGCCCGGGGGTTGGCACCGGCGACAACTCGGGTCCCCGGGGAGCGGCTTAACGAGCTTTCCCTCCGTCGCAGGGTGTCCCAGAGTGTCCCCAGAGTGTCCCCAGAGTGTCCCCAGGCTCTGAGCTTCGCGCTTGGCCTCGGCCGGTCCCCAGAGCCGGGGAGGGGGGAGGTGACACCGGGGACCTGCTCCAGCCCCCGGCTGCGGGCGGAGGGGTGTCCCCACCCTGTCCCCACCCTGTCCCCAGCCCTGGCCGTGTCCCCGGTGTCACCTGTGGTCCTGACTGTCCCCCCACACCCTCGGGGGTTGCTGCGGGCGGGGGGCTGCCTGTGACCCCCCTCCCCGTTCCCAGCCCACCCGTGTGGGGACAGTCGCGTCCCTCCGTGGCCGGGGGTGGTGGCACTGCCCCGCGGCAGCACAGGGGGCCTTTGGGGGGCTCGGGGGTCCTGCCCCGCCCTGGGGGGCCCTGTGAGCTCTGTGGGGTCCTGCCCCACGTTGGGGGGCCCCGTGGGGCGCAGGGACTGTCCCCAGGGCAGCGGGGGGGACACCGGGGGGACAGGGACCACCAGCGGGCTGGGGACACGGTGACGGCGACACAGGGACTGGTCGGTGCTCCAGGAGCCACCGTCCCTGGGTGGCTGTGCCCCCTCCCCGGGCTGGCCCCGTCCTGTCGCCACGGGTGGCCCTCGGAGCCGCCGGGGGCACCTCGAGCCCGGGGGTGGCCCTGGGGGGGGGCAGCGGGGGTGGCCCGGGTGTGGAGGGCTCGGGGATGTCCCCTCCTGTCCCCCCAGTGCCCTCCTGTCCTTTCCTGTCCCCTCTGTCCCTCCTGTCCCTGGTGCTGATCCCGGCAGTGTCTCCCCCCCGGACAACCCCCCCAGGGATGGGGAGCTGGGGGGTCCTGGGCAGGGGGAGCTGGGGGTCCCGGGGACAAGGTGCTGGGGGTCCCAGGGATGGGGAGCTGGGGGGTCCTGGGCAGGGGGAGCTGGGGGGCCTGGGGACAGGCTGGTCCACCTGGGGAGGGGATGTTGGGGGTCCTGGGGAGGGGGTGTTGGGGGTCCCAGGTACGGGGTGCTGGGGGTCCCGGGGAGGGTGTGGGGGGTCCTGGGGACAGGCTGGGGGTCCTGGGGAGGGGGTGCTACAGGAGCTCAGGGAGGGGGTCTGGGGGTCCCAGTGAGGAGGAGCTGGTGCTCCTGGGCAGGGGGTGCTGGGGGGCCTGGGGACAGGCTGGGGGTCCCAGTAAGGGGGTGCAGGGGGTGCTGTGGAGGGGGGGCTGCAGGCTCTGAGTGTCCCAGGGACAGGGTGCTGGGGGGTCCCAGTGCTGGGGTGCTGATGCTGGGGTGCTGGGTGTCCCAGTGTTGGGATGTCCCAGTGTTGGGACCCCAGTGTTGGGGTGTTGGGGTGCTGGTGTCCCAGTGTTGGGGTGCTGGTGTTGATGTGCTGGTGTCCCAGTACTGAGTGCTGCTGTCCCAGTGTTGGGATGTCCTGGTGTTGATGTACTGGGTGTCCCAGTGTTGGGGTGCTGTTGTCCCAGTACTGGGTGCTGGGTGTCCCAGTACTGGGGTGCTGGGTGTCCTTGTCCCAGTGTTGGGGTGCTGGTGTTGATGTGCTGGGTGTCCCAGTGTTGGGGTGCTGTTGTCCCAGTACTGGGGTGCTGGGTGTCCTTGTCCCAGTACTGGGTGCTGGGTGTCCTTGTCCCAGTGTTGGGGTGCTGGTGTTGATGTGCTGGGTGTCCCAGTGTTGGGGTGCTGGGGTGCTGTTGTCCCAGCACTGGGTGCTGGGTGTCCCAGCAGCCCCCCCAGCCCTGTCCCCCTCCCCAGCGGGGTGTCCCTGGCCCGGGCTCACTTCGAGAAGCAGCCGCCGTCCAACCTGCGCAAGTCCAACTTCTTCCACTTCGTGCTGGCCATGTACGACCGGCAGGGCCAGCCCGTGGAGGTGGAGAGGACCTGCTTCATCGACTTCGTGGAGAAGGAGCGGGTGAGGGGCCCCCCGGGCCGGGGGAGGGACCCCGGGGCTGCCCCACCTCGGGGAGGGGCCGAGCCCTGACCCGGAGTCACCGGAGCGGCTCCGTGGGGAGGGGAGGGAGAGGGCAGGGGGTGGTGGAGGGGCCTGTGGTGTCCCCCCCACATCCATCTGGGTCACCCCACATCCGTCTGGGTCCCCCCCACATCCATCTGGGTCCCCCCACATCCATCTGGGTCACCCCTACATCCATCTGGGTCACCCCTACATCCAACTGATTCCCCAACTGTGTCCCCCCCACATCCGACTGTGCCTTCCAACATCCAACTGATCCCACATCCATGTCCCCCCCATCCAAACGATCCCCCACAGCTGTGTCCCCCCCATCCAACTGATCCCCCACATCCATGTCCCCCCCATCCAATTGTCCCCCATTGGTGTCCTCACATCCATCTGTGTTCTCCCCACATCCAGTTGTCTCCCCCCACATCCTACTGACCCCTCATCCATCCGTGTCCCCCCCATCCGTGTCCCCCCCATCCATCTGTGTCCCCCCCATCCGTCCTTGTCCCCCCCATCCATCCATGTCCCCCACATCCAACTAGGCCCCCCCATCCAACTGATCCCCACATCCAACCGTGTCCCCCCCACATCCAACTGTGTCCCCTACTTCCAACTGATCCCCACATCCATGTCCCCCCCCACATCCAGCTGTGTCCCCAACATCCAACTGACCTTCCCCAGCCGTGTCCCCCCCATCCAACCAATCCCCCACCCATCTGTGTGTCCCCCCCACGCCCCCCTGACCCCCTCCCACCCCCTGACCCCCCCATCCCTGTGTCCCCCCAGGAGCAGAACGGGGAGAAGACCAACAACGGGATCCACTACCGGCTGCAGCTGCTCTACAGCAACGGTGCTGGGGGGGCTGGGGGGGCTCGGGGGGGCTCACAGGGGTCCGGGGGGGGGCTGGAGAGGCCCCGGGGGGGGCCCAGGCGGGGCTGACCCCCCCCTTTCCTGCAGGGCTCCGGACAGAGCAGGATCTCTACGTGCGGCTCATCGACTCCATGTCCAAGCAGGTACCGACCCCCCGAGCCCCCCCGACCCCCCCCGAGCCCCCCGGGCACGCTCGGGGGTGTCTGAGCCGAGCAGGAGCCCCCGGCTGCGGGGTGGGCACCCCCGGGAGCGCGGGGGGGGCGCGGCTGTGGTGCCACCCCCTGCCCCCCCCGTGCCCCCCCAGGCCATCATCTACGAGGGGCAGGACAAGAACCCCGAGATGTGCCGGGTGCTGCTCACCCACGAGATCATGTGCAGGTGGGTGGGCCTGGGGGGGCCCGGGGGGGTCCCCTGTGCCCCGTTAGTGCCCCGTCAGTGCCCGCCCTTGTTTACCAGCCCCGCTCTGTTTGTGCCAATTAACGAGCCAGCGCCGCTAATTGATCCCCGGAGCCGCTCTAACGAAGCCCCCCCGGACCCCCCCGAGCCCCCCGGGGACCCCCCTCCCCCCCCGTGCCCCCCGGGACCGGCCCCCCGTGTTTGGGGGGCTGTGTGGGGTGGCACCAGCCCGGCCCTGCCGTGTCCCCGGGGGGGGGACAGTGCCGTGGAGCCCCCCGGCCATGGGGGGTGGGTCCCACTGGTTCAGACCCCCCCGGGGTGATGTGAAGCCCCCCAGGATGGGGGGGTGGGTCCCTCCCCAGTTCAGAGCCCCCCCTTTGGCTCCCCGAGTGTTTCCCAGGGCAGGGGTGCCCCCCCCGACCCCCAGATCGCCCCCCAGCCCCAAGGGGGGTGGGGAGGGGTACCCCGGGGTGACCCCCCCTCCTGTGTGTGTCCCCCCCGTGTCATGTCACCCCTGCCCCTGTCCTGGAGACCCCCCCACAGGGTGACAGGGGGTCCAGGGGGAGAACCGGGGGTCTGGCGGGTGCCCCCGGGGTTTGGGGGCTGTGCGGGGGGGTCCCCCGGCCCCCCCTCCCCTCACGTCCCCTCCTGTCCCCGCGTCCAGCCGCTGCTGTGACAAGAAGAGCTGCGGGAACCGCAACGAGACCCCCTCGGACCCCGTGATCATCGACAGGCACGGGGGGCACGGGGGGCACGGGGGGGGGGCACGGGGGGACCCCCACACCTCGCTGGGACCTGGGGGGCACGGGGGGATCCACCCACACCTATCCGGGACCTGGGGGGCACGGGGGGGGGCGCTCCCGGGGGGATCACTCCTCTCACACCCTCCGCTGGTAAGCCCTCCTCCTTCTGGGGGGTGTGGCAGGCGCGGGGGGGTCCCCTGGGGCTGGGCTGGGTGCCCCCTCAGGGCTGGGGATGCGGTGCCAGCGCTGCCCTCTCAGGGCTGAGCTGGGGGGGCAGCACGGGGGGCTCGGGGGGGACATGGGGAGGGTCCCGCTGTCCTTCTGTCCCTCTGTCCCCATCCCTGTCCCCACCGGGGTCCTGCCTCTCCTGGACGCGGTGTCACCTCCCTGGGTCTCACACCCCCGGTCCCTGGGGGGGCCAGCAGGGAGGAGGGGGGGCTGTGGGGGGGCTGTGCCCCCTCCTCACCTCACCCCGCCTGCGGGGGGGTCCCTCAGGGCCCCTGTCCCACGTCCCTGGGGACGGGGGGGGACACAGACCCCTGTCCCCGACCCCCACCCCAGCGGCGCCCTCCAGATGTGCCCCCCCCAAAATCCCCAACCCACCTCCCCCCTCATCCCCAAGTCCCTGAGGGGGTCACCCAGGGCCGGGAGTGTCCCCA